TGGTGGCTTGCACCTGTAATCCCAGCTACTTGGGAGGCTGAAGCAGAGAATCACTTGAACCCAGGAGACAAAGGTTGCAGTGAGCCAAGACGGTGCCACTGCACTCTAGCATGGGCAACAGAGCCAGAAATAAAAAATAGAATACAGTCTAGGACCCTCTTACAGGTGAATTAAATCCGTATTTCTAGAGAATCCAAGAAGTCTCAAAGACTCTTAAATCAGATTTTGAACAAAACTACAGTGTAGCCCTATAATTTAGAGAATACATGCCAAGGATTCTGACAACACTGAAATACACAAGAGAATTAATGCATTGTGATTTTCACAGAAAGGATTAAATGGAAATGAATGCACAATTGCATGGGAAAAGGAAGTGTCACTTTCAAATACTTTTAGTATAATCATCTGTTATAGAAAAGGTGAAAGAATACAGGAGGTATAAATAAAACAGCTTGCCATGGCATTTCCCATGGGAAGTTTGATTGTAAGAGATCTATTCTGTGAAAGAGACTACCATGATGTTGTTAAAGACTTAGAATTTGCGTCAAGGCTAAATATATTCACGTCCCAGCTCTGCCATGTGCTAGCTAGGTAACTTAAACTTTTTGGACCTCCTTTTCCTTGCCTAGAAAGCATAAATAATAATAGACCAACTCAGAGGTGTTGTGTGAGGTAAAAGAGTTAATATAGGTATAGCATTTAGAATGATGCCTGGGACACAGTAAATACTCAATAAACATTCTCCTCCTCCTCTTGTTCTGCCACTTCTTCCTTTCTCTCTCCTCTCCCTTCTCCTCTTCTTCCTTCTCTTCTGTTTTACACATAAACAAGAGATAGATAAACTATTTGATTATAATTACATATTATTCTAAACTTAACATTACAAACATATAACTAGCAATATTTCAGTTAGAGATAAAATGATGTCTTCACATAAGATCTTCTTATTATTTTTTTAAATTTAATTTTTGGTGTTTTTTTATGGACAGGGTCTTGCTATGTTACCCAGTTTGGCCTTGAAGTCCTGGGTTTAAGCAATCCTCCTGCCTCAGTCTCTGGAGTAGCTGGGATTACAGGCCTATGCCACCACACCTGGCTCTACATTGGATCATCTGAGTTTTTAGAACAAGCCATTTCAATGGTCAATCAAAACTTTATCTTACTAAAGAGACCTAAATTTATTAGCTATCATTCTCTTTGTTTCAGTTTTTTCCTGTTCTTTTTTCCAAATTATTTAGAGAGCTTAGACTTTCCACTCAACTTTGGAGACTAATAAAAGTTCTCCAATCAAATAACTATTCTGAAACTTTGAGAGGCTCTAACTGGACCTAATTTAAATGTATCAGGAAACTCACTGCACAAGTGAAGATTCATCAAGAGTGACTTAGCAGATTGTAACGCAGTCTGGGTCCTCTCAATGAGAAACCCTGTTGCGTGACTTAGGTGTCCAGCTGCTCAGAAGTATTTCATACTTTCATAACAAAGATGAAAGAAAAATCTCCTGGAAACTGAATGTATAATCATGTCAGCAGTGGATTTTGCTAAGAAAATCACCACTTCAACCCATGGAAATGACCAAGAAACACTCAGAGAGAACGTAATGCAATAACTAAAAAAGACAACGGAGGGTAAATCAGTCATTTGTTTCTAGCTACTTATTGACTACTTAGAAAAATGTCATCCTTTTTCCAGAAAAGTACAAACACCTAAATAGAAATGCTTTTAAGAACAGCCAATTAGTCACCAAAAAAGTAACTACGTGAGATGACAGACCTGTCAACCTGCTTTATTACTGTAACCATATTTTCTATATGTAGTCCCGTAAATTCATGTTGTAAACATCAAATATAAATAATAAAATTTTAAAAAACAGCTGTCCAATTGAACCTATAAATTAAATCAAGAAATCAAATGTGCTAAAATTCTTTGCAACAATACAGAGAAATTTACAAAAATTCATTAGCTTGCATGTTTTTAAAAATCAACCTCAGTAAACATTAGAAAGTATTAAATTAGGCATACTTATTCATCATTACCTCAATTTTGCAGAAATGTTTATTAAACTGGAGTAAAAGGACAATTCTGAATTGTTTTCAACATGCTTAATTAACTCATGAAGTTAGATTTACACTGGCAATCCTTCCTGCATCTCCACATTCCATAAAATAAAAAAAAACCCAGCACACTAACTTAGTAAGTATGCTATAAAAAGCAACGTGTGACTTCTTCTTAAGTACTCTTTGGAGGAAACATTTATCTTAATAATGTTGTCAGGTTGGTCTGTTCTAATTACACTCGAATGTTTTTAGAAAAAGTGCTTTATTAACAACCATAGACATAAAAAGAATTTGAAGTTTTATTGTGGTATTTTGGAATTCTCATGAATGCCTGCTGCATATCAATTATGTCAATATCTGAGAAAACAATGGTTGACCCTCTAGTATACCAAAAATACTACAGTTAAGTCATAGGATTTGCCTAACAATTTCTTAGCATCATAAGGCATGGATTTAAAAAAAATCTTCAAAGTTTTATGATTTTTTGATGGCTCAAACAAAACTAAATCTTTTCATTGGGATAATTGGTAATGTTCTAGAAAATTCTTTATCAAAGTATATTCCAAAAAGCATTAAGTCTATGACATGCTACTCATAAAAAAGTATTAGACGGGTGCAGTTGCTCACACCTGTAATCCCAGCACTTTATGAGGCTGAGGCAGGTGGATCACCTAAGGTCAGGAGTTTGAGACCAGCCTGGCCAACATGGTGAAACCCATCTCTACTAAAAATACAAAAATTAGCTGGGCATGGTCGTGGGTGTCTGTAATCCCAGATACTCGGGAGGCTGAGGCATGCGAATTGCTTGAACTCCGGAGGTGGAGGTTGCAGTGACTTGAGATCATGCCACTGCATTCCAGCCTGGGCAACAAAGAGTGAAGCTCTGTCTCAAAAAAAAAAAAATTGTTAAGAGCAGTGGAGAAATGCCAGTATTCGTTATAACCATTTTTATAACCATCTTGAAGATTATTCAGGATGCATGTTCTCTGAAAGCAGAGATCTGTCTAAACCTTGTTCACTCCTGTAGCCCCAAGTCAGCAACAACGCTTGGCAATAAGCAAGCACTGAGCAGAAATCAATGAATGAACGAATGATCAGTTCTCCAGCAAGGAAATTTCTTTAATTTTTTTTTCACCCAGAGTCTCTCACATCTATTTGATCACGAGAATCCCTTGTTTTTTCGCTGTTAGCAGCACAGAATATTTCAGGAAAACAAAATAAAGAAAGAAGGAAAGGAAGGAAGGAAGGAGAGAGAAAGCAGAGAGAAAAATCTAACAAATGTACATATAATGACAACCCATATTAAGATTTAAAGTAAAAGTGAAGTCTCTTGGGGACTCCTCCCCAGTGCCACTTATTTCATACCCCATCTCTTCCCTCAAAATGAGGTAACCCCAACACTAGGGCTTATGTCCACATGCTACTAACATCCTCCTCTGGGAAATTCTGAATTGAAGGATTGCTTCAATTCAGCTTCAATTCCTTTAAGCCCTAAGATTTTAATTTATTTCTAGCTAATATATATTTCGCAGATGGTCGTTTGTAAATCTCTCCACTTACTAAATTAATACAAGGATGAATAAGAAATGAATGAAACAAAACTCTACAAAACAGATGCAAGACAATGAGAAATCGATATAATAATGGTATTTATGAACAGGCTAACTGGTCTCTTGTTCAGACGGATTGATATAAACTCTAAAGACATACGTAGATGTAAACAATGTTCTGAAAAGGCATAGAAGTATTAGCTACTTAACCTAAACTGAGGGATTTAGAAAACTATTCTCTACTATTATAGAGAAATACAAGCCTAACAATGTATATATTGGATTTTGACTTACTAAAGAAATCACCTAGGGTTTTAAAGACAAACCGTGCCTAGATCAATGTCAAAACATGCTCCCTCTTACATAACAGATGCTGCCAAGAAGAGGACATCCTTTTCCTGAGCTGAATAAACAATTACTAATAAAGATCTCTTCTATTAAGACCGAGCATACATGGGCCAACATAGTTTAAAAGGAACAAGTTCTATTTCTAAAAATGTAATCAATGTCACTCACTATATTGTTTCAATAAATCTATTTTTCCCTAAAATTTTCGAGTACCTTTATAGATATTTCTAAATTGTCTTGGAAAACCTTTAAGTATGTTCCCAACAAGATATTCTTTCAAGTATCTAATTTTTGTACTTTGCTTCGAAAAACAGATAAAAGGACCTACCCAATGTATTTTCATAATTAAAGCTCTGTTTTGTAATTTTATGCATAGAAGGTGCTGACAAAGCAATTTAGTGAAACACAATTGAACTCAATACATGTAGCTGTGTAGATAACTACATGCAACTATAATACAACAGGGAGTAGAACAGCAAAGAACACCACGATGTGTGGTTGAATATTCCACATTATCATTGGTAATTGGTGTCACATAGTTTTTTTTTTTTTTTGAGACAGAGTTTCACTCTTGTTACCCAGGCTGGAGTGCAATGGCGCGATCGTGGCTCACTGCAACCTCCACCTCCTGGGTTCAGGCAATTCTCCTGCCTCAGCCTCCTGAGTAGCTGGGATTATAGGCATGTGCCACCATGCCCAGCTGATTTTTTGTATTTTTAGTAGAGACGGAGTTTCACCATGTTGACCAGGATGGTCCCGATCTCTTGACTTCGTGATCCACCCACCTTGGCCTCCCAAAGTGCTGGGATTACAGTCTTGAGCCACCCCGCCTGGCCGTCACATAGTTTTATAGACAAATACAAGGATGAGGATTTCATTTCACTTTCAAGCCAACCCACTGACTTCTTCACATGTTAAATGCCAACAGAGAATAAAACACAACCTCATCTTTTACTTAGAAGCGCATACGGACTTTCTCATACTAAAATAAATGAAATGATTTCGTATCTAAAAATGTTTATGAAAGAAAAGTGTTAATTCCTACCTCCATTGTCTTTTAGATGTAGTGCTATCTTGGTATCATCTGGAAGAGAAATTCAAAGTTATTATAACAGAAGAAGATTGATTTCAAAGGAGCACAAATCTCATGACTGTAATTGTCTACTAACTGCCTTGATTGGAACATGACTAGATTTTGACAATTTATTGAGGTAATTTCTAGAACAATGACAGCAAGTCCTTGCTTTACACTAGATAGATTTAAAATTTCCTAAAGAGATTGTAAGGTCAAGATTTCGATAACATCTTGAATGATTCTTAAGATCTACAAGAAAAGTAAACACTTCCAATTAAAACTTAAAATGCAACTATTTTTAATTCTCTAAAATCACTTATTGTAATTAGAACCTATAGTTATGACCTTATTTATTCATTTTTAAAAATCAAGATCAAGGACATTCCAAATTAATTGTGATAGTTAAGATTTGTCAATATTTACAAGTTTAACTCCAAAAGTTAAATGTTTATTCATTGCTAGAAAAGATGACCAAAATTCTATATAAAGAGATCTTATCCTGACCAAACAAAATGAAGGCTATATTCATTTCAGTGATTATATTTGACTTTAAAGGGTAGGGTTTAAATTATAGGAATATTTTCATGAGCTTTATTATAATAATCCAAAATAATATGGATTGAAACATAATGTTGCTTATGAAAGCAGTAAAATGCGCTTAACAGCTGCCCTCCACCCCACTTTATTCCAGTTTACCTTATAACATCAAATTAAATTCCAATTAAAAGCAAAGGTTCCAAATTTAATTTAATTTCCTATTCAAGCCAAAGAAATCGAGGCTTATAACAATAGCAAAGTAGCATCCATTTATCCCCCTCAAACCTGATTTGTGACCAGTCTCATGCTTCCGCCCACTCCCTCCTGGTGGTGTCATTCAGAATAGAAAATTGTCTTATGTTGGGTAATACACCTTCTTCCTCCTGAGCTCCGCCCAAGCATTAACACCATCTAGTATTTTGCCTTCCCTAGAAGAAGATATATTTTTCAAGGACAATTTCTATGACACATACAGTGTCCCTGTATAGGTTATAGACTATACAGACATATTTTATTGACTGCATTCTGGAAAATATTAGAATTATATATAAATAGAACTATCGTTAAGAATCCAGAGTCAATGGAAATTTTATAGGCATTTGCCTTTCTAACCTGTGATTGTGACGTTAGATTTGTTTACTACAAAATTTAGCCACATAGAAAGAAATCTGTATTTATTTTCTAGGAATGAGGGGACAAGAAGCCAGAATCAATGGTAAAAGCTATATCTTTTTTTTTTTCTTTTGAGATGGAGTTTTGCTCTTGTTACCCAGGCTGGAGTGCAATGGCGGAGGTCCAACCTCCGCCTCCTGGGTTCAGGCAATTCTCCTGCCTCAGCCTCCCGAGTAGCTGGGACTACAGGCACGCAACACCACGCCCAGCTAATTTTTTTGTATTTTTAGTAGAGATGGGGTTTCACCATGTTGACCAGAATGGTCTCGATCTCTTGACCTCATGATCTACCCGCCTTGGCCTCCCAAAGTGCTGGGATTACAGGCTTGAGCCACCGCGCCCAGCCAAAAGCTATATATTAAAAAAAAAAAAAAAGGCACAGTGCATTGAAAGAATCCCAGCATATACTTTTAATTCATAATAATGTTGTCCTTTTCCCCCTTTAGAAATCCCTTAGAAATCCTGTTTGCCAAAGAATAACTTTAGAGAGATATAGACAGTAGGAGCTATTCCAGTGCATGTCAACACAGTGATTTTTCCTTCCTTCAGGAAAAAAAAAGCAAACTATGTTGGGCACCTTCTGTCGGGAGGCTGGTAGGGAGCTGGGAAGTCACTGCTCTTCTGGTGGTGGTTAAGACCCTGAACTGGGTGGTTGTGGCTCGTACGATTGTGGTGGTTGGAGAAGAAGCTTCCGCTGGTTCTGTATTCTCACACATCTTCTCCTTTGACTAGTAAGAGAAATGAAAAGGAAAACAAATTGAGTAATCCCGTGTCTATTTTAAGATCTTACATCAAAGAAGCTGGGCTGTAATGCACAAAAGCCTCTCACATCAAGACAAGGAATAAATTACTTTTGCACAAGACTATATTTATGATTTTCCTAACTTATGAAGTTTTCAAAATAGGAAAGAGAAAAAGATGGATGTAACAAGGCATTTCCATTTTTACATATTTAGGTTTCATCATTTACTGCTGTTAAACTTTCATATTACTGTTTATCTTGCCCTATATTTTACATTGGTATATTTATAAAAGACACACTGTCAAAAGGGAAAATTTATACTAGAAGAAAAACATGTGCATAAAAATAAGTTTTAAGACATACTCAGGTTTGTGAACAGAGAGTACATTCCTTTCATATCAAACCAAAAATGCTAAATCCAAAATATTTGCCAACTTCCCCATACTACTTCATTGCTTCAAAAATCATCTGTCACAAGCTGATTGAAAGTCTAAAATTTTGTTTTCCTTTATGAAATATTCAAAACCACATAAGAAAAAGATTGAACAGAACTTCTGTAATCACTTGGTCTATCTTTTTTCTAATAGAGCTGTACTGAAAACATCAGGAAGAGGGACATACTGCACTTGAAATTTTTAATTTGTGAAAATAAATCCTACAACCTTCACTGGTAACAGCCTCCAAGATCCAAACTTTTATAGCTTAGAAGTTGGTGTTTCTATCCATCTTCTGTGCCTCAGTGGACTCCCTCTCACTGGTGGGCCTTGAATAGAAAGTAACTATACTGTGCATGAGTGGTTCTCTTTCCCACATTTTAAAATTATTGTTAAATAAGTATCTTTTTTAAACTTCTCTCATCATTAGTGGAGTGCCAGGCACCTTTCCTCTTGTTTTTTTTTTTGAGACGGAGTTTCTCTCTTGTTACCCAGGTTGGAGTGCAATGGCACGATCTCGGCTCACTGCAACCTCCACCTCCTGGGTTCAGGCAATTCTCCTGCCTCAGCCTCCTGAATAGCTGGGATTACAGGCACGTGCCACCATGCCCAGCTAATTTTTGTATTTTTAGTAGAGACGGGGTTTCACCATGTTGACCAGGATGGTCTTGATCTCTTGACCTCGTGATCCACCCGCCTCGGCTTCCCAAAGTGCTGGGATTACAGGCGTGAGCTACTGCGCCTGGCCTACCTTTCCTCTTGTTAATGAAGATTCCTGTGACAGCCTCCGTTCATTAATAGGATGTGCAACACGTTTACTCTCCACTTCAAGTCCAAACATTCCAAGGTCTCATTTAATTCCCCAAATTCCACTTCCTGCACCTTCTGAGCGCCATTAATCTAATGATTTCCTTTCAGATACCGCTTTAGTTGCCATCCCCACACCCTGGACCATATCCGTAGTGGAAAATGTTTTAGATCTGAAATCGTAAGCCCAATTATCCTTTTTCAGTCTATCCTTGCATCTGTGAACTCCAATTCTTCTTATACTTTGGCTACTTAGAAAGCCTACCAAAATGGTTTTCTTTTTTTCGTTTCTTTTTTTCCCCATCACTTCAACCTCTCATTGCAATAGCTCCAAGTGTCTGGCTCTATTTTTTGTTTTGTTTGTTTTTTTCTGCAACACCTTTAAAGCACATCCCCAATGTGGTAAAAGATCTGTCTTTTCTCTGCCTGCTCCAGGGCCAGGCACAGCTGGAGAATACCCACACAGAGCCGCCCTGGGGGTTCCACAAACTCATCTCCTGCATCCTCAGCCAGGCTGTCTATACCACTTGGCAGCACTGCTGTGTCTTGCTAATCACCTCTCCCATTATGCTCAGTATGAATTTCAAACTCTCTCCACTTTACTGAAAACTGCAGTCTCATCGTGGTTCTCCCAGTTTTACACCTTTCATTTCCTTGATAAAGAGACATGATCAGCAAGATTTCTTTAAATTTCTTTGTGAATCAGCATACTTACTTGACTCTGGGCTGACCTATTCTTTCCTTCGTAATAATGCATGGGGACCCTTCCTTACAGCCATTCTTTCAACCTATGTCCTAGCCCAACTCAGCCCCGCTTCACAGGTCTTGTGAATTTGCTCATGTGATCATGGCCCTTTCTCTACGATGTTTGCCACCTCTAATTCTCTGCTGGCTTCTTACCAACAGCACTTAAAGGTACACAAGCGTGCCTAATCTTATTTTGCAAACTCAGTCCTTTCTCTTCTCTCAGTGCATCCTGACATTATAGTGCTTTCCCTCCATTCCTTCACAGTCATATTCCAGAGAGGTCAGTCTGCCTTGGTCTTCTCAGACTCCCAGCTTCCCCATTTATGCCAATCTTGCTCTTTTCTAATCCAACGGAGTTGAAATTTCTCATACCAATGTTTCTAAATATCTAAGCTTCTACATCTTTCATGGCGTCCTACTGAGACCTTCTCAGTCTATGGTGCAGATGTGCACTCTTCTTCTTGGTCTCTGTGACTCACTCTCCTCAATGTTCTGATACCTCCCTCACAATCCATCTCAATTTCCTTTTATTTATGTCAATGCCTTAAGTGTTGGGGTAGTTCTTATGGATCATTCCTGATTTGTTACTTTATTCTATGCATTATCTTTTGCAATCTCATCCACACCCATGACTGCAAGGAACATCTTTATGTTGATTATTCATAAGTCTGTATTTCCAGTCCACATTTCTCTATTGTATTTCAGGCCCAAAAAGTCATCTATTGACCAGGTGTATGCATGTGAATGTCACAGACATCTCAAACTCAAGAAGCCTGGATTGGAACTTGCCATATATTATTCTCTTCTTGTGTTTCTATTGTCAACAAACAGGACCTAATATTCAGTAAACAGGATCTAATGTTCAGTAAACATCCAAACATTTAAGGTAAAATCCTGACTCAGATTGCTTTTGGCAGTAAAGGCAGACTAAGAAACTAAATAGCCCTCCTGTTACAAAACAAATAGATTCTAAATAAAACTTGAATTTTAAAGCATTAGAATTTGCAGGAAGTAAAGAATATCCTGAATGGTGCCTCTCCATTGTCTATTCCATTCCCCACTTAAAAAATAAAACAAAACAAAAGCTATGTGCTATAAAGACAGTAGGAGCTGTATACATTTAGGGAAATAAAAAAGCAGAGTTTGCCCTGAGGTAGCCAAAATCAATATTATTCTGAAGAGAACAAGCCTTGTACCAGTAGTAGACAGGGGAGATAAATCTGAACTTCTCCTCCTCAAATAAAGGCAGAGGCTTATGGTAACCTTAAAATCCTGAGGATCCCATCATCAAATCCTCTTGGTGGAAAGCACCACCTATTTAGATGTTAGAATAGGAACAGACAAATATACACTAAGAAAGAAATACAAATAGCTGTCTGACAAAGACTCAGCAAAAACAATGAACAAACTATTGAGATCACCAAAACTTTAGATAATGGGATCATTCAATATGGAATATATAAAATCATACATGGAATATTTAAAATCATAAAAGATAAAATTTAGAAATGAACTGTTCACAGGAAACTATAAAATACTTGGCAAATTTAATAAGTGTCAAATTTAAATTTTAGAAATGAAGAATAAATTGGTTGGAATTTCTACTTCAGTGAATAGAGTATATAGAACATTAAACAAGATGAAGGGAGAATTAATAAACTGGTAAATATATATGAAGAGATTGCCCAAAATACAGCACAGAAATAAGGAAACAGATTACATAAAATAGAGGTTTAAAAATATGAGAACATGAAAATGTCAAGCCCTCAAAGAACTAAGAAGGTGAAAATAAAGAGAGTGGAGACGTATAGCTGAACTTTTATCAAGTTTGACACCCAACCAACAAGAAAACACACAGTTTTCCTGGACACACATAGACCATTTGTACAAATTTCCCATGTACTTGTTCATAAAAAATTTCCAATCAACTTTAAAGATCATAACAAGTTTTCAGATGATAATTCAATTAGTTTAGAAGTCAGTAGTAAAAAAAGGTAAATTTTAAAAGTCTCCATAATTAGGAAATGTGATACAATTCACAATTCCATGTATTTCCAATAAAAATGTTAATAAGATGTATTTATTGGTGGATCACAGATCTTGACAAGGCGAGTCTAAAATTTATATGAAAGACAAAAGTCCTAACATAGCCAGAACACTTGTGAGGAAGAAAAAGTAAGGAGATTTGTCTGTAGATAGTAAGATTTCTTATAAAACAATAGGAATTAATAAAATGGGATGCTGATCTAGGTACTGAGGGAGCTTCAGAAGAGGTGGGGCCAGAAAATACACCTAAAAGAGGTAGCTTTGCAAGGTATTGCCCATAGAAAGGCTTATTTAATAAATGGTGCTTGAAATTTGGCTATCCATCAAGAAACGCCCCCTACAATAAAACTGAACCTCTATTTTATATAATACATAAAAATCAATTCCAAATGGAATATCTTTTGAGGTGTAAGGCAAAGCTTTAAAACATTCAGAAAAAGAAATTATAAACATAATACCTAGATGATATTTGGTAGGAAAATTCTTTTAAACAAGATCCATGGACATATAAAACTCATCATAAAAATAAAAGATTGATACATTTAACACACTAAATTGATAATTAATGTTAGTCAAATAAAATCATAGAGAAAGTTAAAAGAGAAACAAAATTTGGGAGAAAATATATGGACTCCCAGCTACATATATATGAATACGTATATGAATTATATTCTCAATCTTTATGCATATACAGATATTCATTTTCAACATTTTATATTGTGCAAACTGATTATATGAAAGAAATGATTGTCTCAAAATACAACTATGGCTTTGTCAATAGATATTCTTTTGAACTACGTTATTAGATAATTGAAGTGAGATGGATGAGTACACACTGCTGTCATTTCCTGAATGAATATCAAAAGGTTGATTAAAGCTGCACTGGACACACTGCATTTAAAGTGCAAGAATGTTCTGAAAAAATATATTTCTCAAGATCTTTATGAAACATGCTCCCCCTCAAATCAATTTTAAAGAGCATTAGTAACCACTGATCTAATGGTTTTTAAAACAGCATTTTGGCATGACTTGCTTTGCTAACTAAAAAAATTTTGTAACTGTTAACAGTTTTAATTCAAAATTCTTACCCTAAAACTTAATGAAGTGAGAAGAAATACATACTTTCCTTCATAAACTTTAAAGAATATCTTTATATAATCCTGAAATTATACTATAAATGCAATTCACTGAAAACTTTTAAATGGGTTAAAATTGTTTCTGCAATGGTTGGTCAAAGGACTTCATTGCATCCTCATCTCTATCATGTTTCCCTCAGAGTTGATATTATACCATTTATCTACGCCAACTAACGTTATACAATTTCTCATTTATTACAGCACGCCAATTTGCTGCAGTCTTCCACCCCACACAATACCACTGGTCTTGCTGTTTGAACTACAAAGAGGAACAATGGCTTGGTACATCTTAGATAAACAGCAAGCATTTAAGAGAACTGGTCTTTGCTCATACAGATTCCAATCCTGGCTCTACTCCTCGCCACTAACCTGACTCTTCAAGAATCCACACTCCACCCTTCCCCACAAGCTCTCCTCACTCCTTCCTTTTATTTCCTTGGTAATGTGAGGGTAGTGACAGTGCAGGCACTATTCTTCATAGAAAGAATATGAGAACATATTGAGATAATACATATGAATAGTTAAGCCCAATGTCTGCATATATTTGAGGCTGTAGCAAGTTGCTGCAATGCTAATAAAAATGGTATCTAAATTAACAAAAATAACCAGCAGCTATTGAACCCCTAATAAGTACAGACATTGGGCTTATAGAAGGATACTTCTCTTTCATTAAGTTTTAGGATATGCATATTGAATAAAAATTATTATCAGTTACAAACACTGGTCCAAGGCTTCTGTCACAATAAAGCATGTGTACCTCTTCAGGGCATCCACTGTCCACCCAGTCCTGCCGATGACGATCAAATCCACTGGAACATCTTCAAAGAAGACCACATTGCAGTTCAGAAAAGAAAGGATGGGGTACAGGGTGGTGGACAGAAATTAAAAGGAAAAGATTAGTAAGTAGTTCATTCTCACATTTTCTGTTTAGCATAACATTAACTCTTCCATAGAACTGGCAACTGAAGAAGCAGTGAAATATTTAGAGGGTCATTAAGTAATCACTCACTCCTTGGGGTGTCACTGTTAGGATCACACATGGCAAGAAAATCACAATTAAGGTAAACTACACTGTACAGAATACCTAGATCCCTGTACAAAGGTAAAACCAACTGCTATTCTATGAAGTGGATTTTCTTTTACCCTGTATTTTTTTTCTCATCATTAAAACAAATAAATACAGGCTTTTTTTTTTTTTTTTTTACAAATGTGGTATTTCATGATTTCAGGTTCATTCACTCATTCATTTCACTCATTCAATCAAGACCCACCATCACACAAACTCTTCCTCTATTGTGCAGTAAAATGTTAACTTAGCAGTTGCAGGGTTTTCAAACCCTGCATGTTCCAAAGAAAAGACTGGTCCTTGACCTTCTCTTGAGGAGTAACCTCTCAACTCTTGGACTATCCTGCCTATTAAGAGTGTCTACCTTTGGGTCTTGTGCTATGCAGATAGTTTGTGCTGACAATTTGATTTATTGTGAATGTCTGACTTTATTTACCTAGGACCCTGGGCCATTCTGAAACAGTTTGACTCTTGGGAGAGCTGAAGACTCGAAAAGATTAGTCACAGGGGCATTCTACCCCAATGGATGAACCCTTAATAAAAACCCTGGAGACCAAGCTTGGGTGAGCTTCCTTGGTTTAGCAATACTTGTTGTCTGTTATCGTACATTGTCGTTGGAGGAATTCAGTGCTATCTGTATAATTTCACTGGGAGAAGACAACTGGCAACCTGTACTGGTCTTTCCTGGATTCCACCCTATGTGCATTTCACCTTTGCTGATTTTAACTCGTCTCTTTTTCATGTAACAACCTGGAGTATACAGCTTTTATGAGTTCTGTGAGTCTTTCTAGTGAATCATGGAACCCAAGTATCTTCTTGGGGACACCCAATTGCACTAGAAATGCATCATGTCTAAAAGATCTAATTTAGCAAGCATCATGTTACTGAGACTTTGTTCACTCATACTGTCTTTCTTAACTGGAATAATTTTCTGTCTTCCCCACCTACCCTTACAAAGCCCAATAATTCTCTAAGACCCAGAAATTACTCTCCAGAGCACATTCTGATAAAGCATTGCTACCATAGTCGTTCCTTTTAGGAGATTTCAGTTACCCATGGTTAACTGTGCTCTGAAAATAAGTGAGTAAAGTACAATAAGATATTTTGAGAGAGGAAAAGTTATATTCATATGACTTTTATTACACTATATTGTTATAATTGTTGTACTTCATTCCCAGTTTTTAATTTCCATGGTGTCTAATTTGTAAGTTAAGTTTTGTCATTGGTATGTATATACAGGAGAAAACATAGTATATATTGAGTTTGGTATTATCCATTAAAAGTCTTGGAGAAAGGGGGCTACTGTATTGCCGTGATCACATCTTACTTTAATATTATTTTCTCCTTTAGGAAAAATCTCATGTACTCATGTCTTAATTACCAAACTTACTTGAGAATATTTGGAACCTAGGGTCTTATATTGATCATATTATCCAGTATATCTGACACAGAGTATCTTCTTCATGTGAAAAATTCAAACTATTTTTGTCAGCCCATTGACATGTAAGAAATACATTGACCCTCAATGTTAATATATAAACAAGTATGATACACTTTGGCTGTGTCCCCACCCAAATCTCATCTTGAATTGTAGCTCCCATAATTTCCCTGTGTTGTGGGAGGGACTAGGTGGGAGATAACTGAATCATGGGGGCAGATTCCCCTATGCTGTTCTCATGGTAGAGAATAAGTCTCACAAGATCTGATGATTTTATACAGGGTTTCCCCTTTTGCTTGGCTCTCATTCTCTCTTGTCTGTGCCATGTAGGATGTGCCTTTCGCCTTGCACCATGATTGTGAGGCCTCCCCAACCATGGGGAACTGTAAATCCATTAAATGTCTTTTTCTTTATAAAGTTCCCAGTCTGGGACATGTCATTATCAGCAGTGTGAAATGGACTAATACAATATATCTATATATAATATATAAACATCCATTTAATTAAGTTATTCTAAATAGATAGCTATATAGTTTTCAAAATAAATGAAAACTGTTCAACTTTCACCTTATATTTTCTTAGTGTTACAAATTTCTCACAGTGTTACTTTGCAACCTTTAAAAAATTTTTTTAACTTGTTTTGCAATGAGTCCACATGACAGCTCTTCCTAAGAATCCTTGCCAGAGATTATGCACCACGGGATGAACAAGCATAATTTAATTCAAGTGGAATGTGAAAACAACCCTCCTGTCAACCAAATGGACTGTATCTCTCATTCTCTCAGGACGTGATCCATTGAAGTTAAGCTATTTTATGCCTACCATCTGTACTGAACAAGCTTATGTGTGGAGTAAACATCAGTGTGGGATTTGGCATCCCAAATTTGAGAATCTCCAGTTGGCCAAGGCCATCTCTGGTTACCCAATAAGATTCTGACGAGTGGTGTCTATTTAATTCCAGATGAGTTAGATGAATGCTCCTTCCTATATTTTCCTTTCAAGTTTGTTTAAACATTGAAGAATGTACGGACGTTCTCTTTTGGAAGATGAGGAGGTATCAATTTTCTACCAAAAAAAAAAATTTCTTGGGAGCCACCTGATTTCTGTTCCATTGAATCATAACCGTAATTCAATAAGACAGAACTTTCCTTAAACATGATTTGTATTCACTTATTCTGTTTCAAATATATCCAAAGTCAATGGGATGTACTAACTTTTACCTTATATTTTAATGAGACAGTGCCAAATCTTAAATATGCATATCAACTGAAATTTTACCTTGGAATTAGTCCTTTACATTGTTAAATTAATCCCAGGGAAAGGCACAGAAATGCAGTTTGCTTGATTTATTAAATAATCACCAAATTATGTTGTGTGAAATTAGGTTCTACTGAAAATATGAATCAATTAAGTAATTCATCATTGATTTATTGACAATTTCTTAATGAAAGTTACTAAGGGCTAGAGTGGAAAAAACTGAGAATGGCAAAACAAGTAAGATTTGGTTTGAAAAGGTCGTAGTTTTTGTTGCATTTAATGCCTTAAAAGTGAATAAAACTGGATCCTGCCATTTCAGCATTGTTTAGAGCCCCGTAGACTAAATGGCATCCAAAAGCAATTATAAGCACAACAATGTGTGTGTGAGACACAGCTGTATAAATCACTAAGAAAAGTCACCTTTATATTATTTCTGCATTCTAAATAAACCAAAAATCACCTTTGAGAACACTTTCCTGTCTCTGCTGAGCTGCTCTGTGTGTGCGTGTGTGTGTGTGCTTTGTGTATATGTGTCTATGTTTATAGCACAATCACATTAACCATGTCACTCTCCAGCACACTGTTTTCCAACATTTTTAACTGTTATTCACAAAAAGGATCTTCCACATTGGAATCACCTGGGATTCCTGTCCAAATGAAAATTCATGGGTCTAACTGAATAAGATTCTCTGACAGTTGGGCCCCAGCCATTTTGATTGTAAACAAACACCTTCAGGGCATTCGTACCACACTGACTTTCTGTACAATATGCTCAGGCCTCTTGCTCACTCCTGTGCTTTACAACCCATTTGTGCCCTCCTTTTGCTCTGAGAACAGCAAATTGTTTTCCCTTCCATGAAGGTTCTATGCTCTTTCATGACTCTGCCTTTGAAGACACTATTACATACAGCTGGACTACCCAACTGGCAAACCCAATGCAACTCAACCGCAATCTCCTCCAGGAAACAGCTCCTTCTCCTTCCACCCAGCAGAATCAGCAACGCTTGCTCAGAGACCCCCCAATACCAAGTGCAAACATCCACTATTATACTACAATTAGTTGCTTTTGAGTTTATCTTACAAAGCTTTCAGGTTAGTCAGTATTTTGGTTTGGGTACAAAATAGGTGTGTGATCTTATTTTTCTTTTTCCTTTTTTTTGAATGATTTATTGCATTTTGAAAATTATTACTGTATATATTTACGGGGTAATATCACATAGTATGTGATATTATGATACATATATGCAATGAGAAACAATTAAATCAAGCTAATTAATATAGTCATTATCTCAGATACTAATATTTTTCTGATGAGAACATTTGAAATTTACCCTCTAAGCAATTTCAAAACACATACTAGACTACATATATAATACACTATAGTCACAGTATACAATATGTGATATATATGTACAGTGAAAATATACAAATATACAAAAGATACAATACACTATACTGTTTTAAGCAATAGATCTGAAGAAATTTATTTCTCCTGTCTAACTGAAACATTGTGCTCTCAAGTTATTTTTCCTTTCTAACCTGTTTCCTCATCTGTAAAATGAGGTGGAGGAGGTTACATAAGGATTAAAAGTTCGGTATTTGTCTAGTAAAGATTATGTAAATGTTAGCTGGTTTAATATCTAATTATGCCTTTATACCTAACAATACCATTGGTATATGATATGCATGTACCAAATTTGACTATCATGGAAAAATGAATAAGTGAACTTTTCACTTCATAGACAGGATTTAGAAAACATCTAGGAATTAATTCTATGTGCCATATTAATGTAAGATGTGTTTTATAATATAAAGTCCCTTATCATCATATTCAGGAATTAGTATCATAGAATATTATGAGAGAAAAAATCTAAGTTGCTCTCACATATGGGCCAAATATTTATTCAAAATGGACAGAAATTACATGGTTTTGTACATATTTCCCACATAATTGATTTCAACAAAATATGAACTCCTAACCACAGTAGGTTTTTAATGTTTTTATGTCCAAGTTATTCTCTTCTCATCATTATCTAATTCCAAAACAAATTAATAGA